GTACCTATAGGGAAAGGAGTAGTTGCGTTGGAAACAGTAGTATCCGTGCTAGTATTCATGGTACTTGTAAAAGGAGTAGGTGTAATAAGTGTAGCGGTACTAGAGCCAACAACAGTACTCGTCAGGAATGGAGTGGTTGTATTGGATACAGTAGTATTAGTGCTAGCATCAGTACTACTTGTAGAGAAAGGAGTAATTGTATTAGACAGAGTAGTATTCGTAGTACTTACAAGAGAAAAGGTAGTTGTCATTAGCATGGCAGTACTTGTGCTAACATCAGTAGTACTTGTCAGGAATGAGGCTGTAGTATGAGAAATGGCAGTATCAGTGATAGCTGTAGAGAAAGGAGCAGTTGTATGGGAAATAGTACCTTCAGTGCTAGCATTCACGGTACTTGTAAAAGGGGTAATGAACGTAGTCGTACTGGGACCAGCAACAGTTGTACTTGTCAGAGATGAAGCAGTGCTCCTGGATGCAGCAGTATCAGTGCTAACGTAAGTAGTACTTGTAGGGAAAGGAGAGGTTGTAGTATGATTAGTACCTGTAGTGCTAACACCTGTAGAATATGTTGGGGAAGGTGTTGTAATAGAAACAGTAACACCAGTGCTGTGTCTAGCAGTACTTGTAGGGAAAGAGGCTGTGACATTAGGGACAAAAGTACTAGTGCTCATGGTAATGGTTGTAGTCAGGGAAGGAGGTGTTGTTGTTGTTGTAATAAAGCTAGTAGTACTAGTCCTAGGGTCGTTAGTACTACTAGCAGAACTAGTGACAGCAGTCTCATAAGTGGTAGATGAAGATGGATGAGAGCTCATTGGAGAGGTGGTTTCCGAAGGTGGAGTGCTTCCTTCAATGCCACCATGAATCCAAGTAACGACACTTAAACTTTTCAGGAAAATATTCTGGTTAGTCAGTTGAATAGTTAGTGTCTGCCAGGAAAGAAGAGAGATAAAATGAGTTGATGATTGGCAGTGGTGGTGAGTTCTGGGCCGTGTCTTAAACTTTAAAAAAATCACATCTCACATTACACCTTAACATAAAATGGTGCATCCATTCTTCTCCAAGAGAACAGCAGAGGTTAAAAACATGGCTTTTATGGTCATGCTGATTCCACTCAACTAAGTGGATAGAGACACACTGTGTTCTAAGCCCCCAGGCTGGAATCCCCCTCTACTCCATTGAATCAGAACACATTATTAACATAGTTCACAGTTTTGCTTAAAATGGAAGTTTACAAAACTCACTTTCCTCTGCCATTGCATTGTAGCCTTCTTAAAGGAGTCTGGTTTCATGTTCCAACTGTTCCAAACACCAAGCATAGTGCATGGCATATGATCCATAGGGATTTACTATGCACATAATTTCCCAAAAAGCAAGTGTTCAAACCTCCCTGAATCAGTCTCAAGTAGAAGCAATTACTTGAAAGTAGTCGTTTTGAAGCCAGTTGTTAAATGCCCTCAAGTCAGTTTCAACTCATAGTGACCCTGTATAGGGTTTCTCAGGAGCAGCTGATGGGTTTGAACTGCCAAACTTGTGGTTGGTTAGCAGTCCAGTGGCGACCCTACAGTGCCACACCAAAACACCTTTGAACCCCATAGTCCAGGACAGCTCTTTGTAGTAAAGAACTAGACATACTAAGAGAGAGAATCTTTCTGACTTTCCAAAGTAGTTTCCAAAATCCAGTTACCAGCAAGAAGCCAGGTCTTTCTTTCAGGAAATAAACTAGTCACCATTTTCAGTTCTCTAAACCACCTGCTGTGGTGAATCCTTAGCCTTGATCAGTCTTGGGTTCTGAAGTGGGATTCATTTTTGTCTCTGGTCATCCTTGGAAACTCATCTTCCAAAATTCTGGTTTGCTGCTGCTATTTGGTTGGTTTCGGATAGAGTAAATAATAGCTGACCAGCTAGGAGGGTTTGTTTTGTCATTTTGCTGTGATAACCTTACACCACAGGTGGAACACATTCACTTGGTGATTACCACAGATTATTGCCAATCATCAGAGTCCTGGTGTGGCACTGTGGGCTAATGTGCCAGACTACAAAGCCGTTTGAACTGCAAGGTCAGTGGTTCAAGCTCACCGGCTGCTCCTCGGAAATCCTATACAGGGTCGCTATGGCTCGGAACTGACTCGATGACACTTAACAACTGCCAATCATCAAGCAGCTCTGGTAGCGTACTGGTTATGAATCGGGTAGTTCAAAATTACCAGCTGTTCTGCGGGAGAAAGATAAGGCTTTCTACTCCCATAAAGATTTACAGCCTCGGAAACCCTGTACAGGGTCACTATGAGTCGGAACCGACTCCACGGCACATAACCAACCAGCCAACCACCACCACTGCCAATCATCTCCTCATTTCATCTCTCATACTTAAGACCTATTATCAGAAGGAATCAGTCCCTGGAGAAGAACATCATGCTTGGAAAAGTGGAGGGTCAACGGGAAAGAGGAAGACCCCTGGCATGATGGTGGTAGCAATATTGGGCTCAAACAACAACACTTGTGAAGATGGTGCAAGGCCCGGCATTATTCGGTTCGATTGTGCTTCTGGTTGCTATGACTTGGACCAACTGGACAGCACTTACCAGCAACAACTTATCTATTAATTTGACTAGGGATAAGAGTCATTTCCAGGAGAAACCACCCATAGTTTCCAAGTTGTGGGGTGAGTTGTGGTGGGGATGGGAGTCATTTCTTCATTTGCTTTGGCATCTGCAGCAGACATAACCGTGCCTTGTTATGTTGGCCTGGGTGCCCAGCCTTAATACACAACACACTTTAGTTGGTAAACCCATGGAAGAACCTCATCAGAATGTCAGTTATTGACCTCTGGACCACAGATGGGACCACCATAAATACTGTGCGTTTTACCTCAAAGATTCGACACTAGCACATTCAGGGCACTGTTTCGATTGCACCTACCATCAATGTTTCCAATATTCCAATTGTTCCAAGTAAACATGGTAACAATCATAAAAGTGGCACTAATTTTGCCAAACCATCAAATTGACTCATGTCGATGTACCTGATTGTAAGGATCACTCACGAAGTTGGTCACCGTGAATTGCTGGTTGTCATGCGTGACCTTGACTTCAGTGACGTAACTAGAGTTCACCCCCCAGATCCTAATATAGCCAACCTTCAGGGTATTCAAGCCATTCAAATAGTTATTGTGTATGGTCTGGATCTGCAAGGTGTCCTATGAAAGAGTTTTGAAGAGAGAGAGAAAAAAGTACATAATACATTGGTTAGCAGACTGTGCCTCTCTCTAAAATGATAGACAAGCTCAAGTGCTGTTTTTGAAATCAAAAGCAGTAACATTTATTACAAGAGAAAACAATTCACCATTTGGGAAACCAAGGGTGGAGGTTGCAATCAATGACACAAAATGACCTGTGTATGGAGAATTGAAGGGAAACTGGTCTGCTCTGTAAACTTCCACCCAATTCACAATAAAACATTCAAAAAAGGAAGGAGGCAACCGCAAATACTTTTGCTGTGCTGATTTTCTGGTGCTTCTAGGGTGGTGTAGGGTACACACTGGACTGCTGATCCACAACCATCAGTTGCTTGGCTGGAGAAAAATGAGACTTCCTGCTTACATAAAGACTTAGAACCTCCGGAACCCTATACGGGGTCATTATGACTTGCATTCGACTCAGTGACAATGGGAGAAGAAATTCTTCATGAAGACATACCTCCAGAGTATGGCTTCAATAAATTTGATGACGAAAAAAATAGGTGTATGACTAAGCCTTATGAAAATCACTTTACCTATGCCATTGCTAATCCTTAGTGGGGTTTTGAAAAGCAGATATCATCATCCTCTTTGACAAATGAGGCAACGGAGGATCTGGGAGCTGCATTGGATGAATTGCACAGTGTTTGAAACATGCATAGCACCGTGTAACTTCATGCAGGTGACACAAAGCTGTCCTCAACTCAAGACAGTCTGCAACAAATGTAGGAACTTGTCGAAACCATGAAATGCTGAAATTGCGACCCAGACCCCAAACTCCTTCTTATAGCACTGATTCCAGGTCACAGCAACCCTATAGGAAAGAGTAAAACTGCCTCATAGGGTTCCTAAGACTGTGATCTTTACCGAACACACTGCCCCATCTTTGAGAAGGTGGTGGATTCCAAAAGCCAACCTTGATTAGCAGCCAAGTCTTCATCCAGTGCACCACCAGATCTACTCCAGAATCAGTAACTAAACCCATCCACTGCCCACTGGCACAGAGTTCATTCTGACTCCTAGTGACCCCAAGGCTGTAAATCTTTATGGAGTGACTGGTGAGTTTGAACAGCTGACCTTGCAGTTAACAGTCCACTGCTTATCCTACAGCACCACCAGTGTTCCTTAAGTATTAATGTGATTGTTGTTAAGTGCTTTCAAGTCCGTTCTGACTCCTAGCTACCCCGTATAGAGTTTCTGAGGCTTTAAGTCTTTGTGAGAGCAGAAGTCTCATCTTCATCCTGCAGAGTGGCTGGCAGGCTTGAACCGCAGCCATTGTGGTTCACAGTCCAGTGCTTATCAGATGGATCTGCCACGTTCCCATAAGTATCAGTTGCTGTTGTTAAGTGCCATTGACTCCTACCCATAGTGACCCTATATAGGGTTTCCAAGGAGCAGCTGGTGAGCTTGAACCACTGACATTGCAGTTCACACGACTTTGCAGTCTGATGCATTAACCCACAGTAACACACAAGGGTTGAAATACTGGGTGGTTCATCATCAGGTGGCACCTGATTAGGGCCCAAATGACACTCCTAGGGAACGTGTGTTCTAGGTGTTCTGAGAAGGGAAAGTCCATGTAGGAAAGACACAGGATGGATGTGGAATTCCAAAACACCTGGGAGCGACATAATGCTGAGGCGTTCCATATTTTCTGGCTAATAGAATTCTAAGGGTTAGCTACTGTATCAGCTACCTATTGCACAATAATGCTGCACATCACACACAACACCTATTTTACTGTCAACCAATCTGAATTATAATAGTAAAGGTAGGATTCAACCCACCAAGCAATCCACTGCTGTCAAGTAGATTCCTCCTCATAGAGACCCTAGAAGATGACCAGACAGCTATGCCTTTCTCCTGAAGAACAGCTGGTAGGTTCAAACCACTACCTTTTGGGTAGCAGCCAAGTGCTTTAACCATGGTACCACTAGGGATCCCCTAAAAATAAGGGAGGCTCCTATTAAGATGTGAGTTATTTATACAGTTAATTGAAGGATCTCTGGTGACATAGTGGGTTAAGCACTAGGCTGCTAACCACAAGACTGGCAATTGGAACCCATCAGCCACTATTCTGCTGTAGAAAGATGAGGCCATTTGTTTCTGTAAGGTTTACAGAAACCCTGTGAGGCAGGTCTATTCTGTCCCTATAGGATCACTGTGAGTAGGAATGCACTTGATAGCAACAGACTTGGTTTGAAATCTGTAGCTGAGGAAGCCTGTGGAACAATGGTTAAGCATTTGATTACTAAAGGAAAAGTTGGCAGTTCACACCTACCCAGAGGTTCCATGAGAGACAGACCTGGAAATCTGTTCCAATAAAGAACTAACTTAGGACATTCTATGTGGTAGTTCTCCTCTGTCACACTGGGTTGCTATCAGTCAGAATTGACCCAACAGCATCTAACAAGAACAACAGTCTGTAGCTCAGTGGGAAATGATTTCTAAGAATTCAATGAAGTGGTCTTACCTGAGATGCTGTAAAATTTGCCAAAAAATACTTTCCATTTTCATAGGAATCTGCAGTCAAGAAAAAGAGAAGGACTAGAGCTTATTCACTGCATCAGTTTGTTGAGTCAGAATAATCCGCACCATCAGTGACAGCCCAGCATACCCATCACCAATCTGAGGGTCACTACAGGTAGTAGCTGGGGGAACATCCCACCAAGGGTTAAGTATGAGGGGGCTTCAATGACTTTGGGGGAGGGGGAAATTCCATTGTCTTTTAGCTTCATTTTCCCACAATTCCCTTATATGTTGGAAGAATCTTTTGAGATGAAGGTCAAGACTTCCAAAAAACAATCTTTACAGACAGAACTTATCAACAGGTAAGTTGTGGTATATCCCCTCATTCAATTGCAGTCCTCATAACAGAGTTTGTAAAGAATGTGTAATAGAATCTAGACATCTTTCTGACATTGTGCTAAGGGGAAATGAAGGATTAACAGATTAAGTGTGCAGTACGTTTTCAAGACTATGAAAATTTAAGCATTTAACTTTTTATCTTTAAAATGCTTTTTTAAAATGAAAATATGGAATAAAACTATTATCAATCATATGCAAATAATAAAATTTTGGGAATTAATGTAAAATATGTACATTTAATATCAGATTGGAAACATGGTAGCTTCATGTGGTAAACACTGGACTGCGAATCTCAAGATCTGCAGTTCGAGCCTGCCATCTGCTCCATGGGAGAAAGAGGAAGCTTTCTGCTTTCATGAACATTTAATGTCTCAGAAACCCTGTACAATACACAGAGTCACTATGCGTTGGAACCGACTCAAGGGCACCTAACAACAACAATATCAGATTAAGTATAATTAATGATAAAAATAATTTATGTTCTCATAAGAAAATTTGTTATTCTATTAAAATAGGATGGCCAGTTTAATGATTTAGAATATGATTGTTGTTGTTAAGTGCCCTTGAGTTGATTCTGACTCGCAGAGAGCCAGTATAGGGTTTCTGAGCAGAAGCTGGTGGGTTTGAACCCCCAACTTTGTGGTTAGCAGTCCAGTTCTTATCCTACAGTGCCACCCATATGATTGTTGTTGTTAAGTGCCATTGAGTCGGTTCCAACACATGATGACCCTGTATAGGGTTTCCAAGGAGCTGCTGGTGAGTTTGAACCATCGACCTTGTGGTTCAAGCCAGCCTTGCGATCCAGTGCATTACCCTACAGTTCCACACAAATGATTAACAATGAATAAGACTTGGATAGGATTTCCAGTTAAAGTACCTCAAATTTTGGATGGGGTATACTTATGCTATTTTTGTCTGTTGTTTATCTGAAATGCAAATTTTACTGGTGCCCTGTACTGCATGTGATGCACATATAACGAATGCTTTTATGGCTCCTGTCTCCACTAATTCATCACAGTGGCTGCACTAACAGGCTCAATTGTAGCAAGACTGTGAGGATGGCACTGAACCAAGTGCTGTTTCATTCTATTGACATAAGGCCACTATGAGCCAGAACTGACTTGATGTTGAGTCCTGGTGTGGCACTGTGGGTTAAGGCGCCAGACTGCAAAGCCGTTTAAACTGCAAGGTTGGCAGTTCAAGCTCACCAGCTACTCTTGGAAACCCTATACAGGGTCACTATGGGTCAGAATCAACTTGACAGCACTTCACAACAACCGCAGCAACATTTCCACTAATAGTGGCAGGTTTCAGAAAAACTGTGACCACTTGCATTCAGAATTATTTTAATTTTGAACCTGAAACTTTTGAATTTGACTTAAAGTGGATAACATTTAAAGGAAATTTGTAATAATAAAATATAAAATGAAATGAAAATATGCTGTCTCTATAATGAAGGAAATGAAACCAGAATGCTTTAAAGGCATTGCTACTGAAGGTCCCTCCTGAGAACATGCCCAGCGTACTACAGGCAAAGTCCCACCATCCTGGCTTCTAAGGAGCTCCCGATGCACTTTGTTTGTTATTTTGGCAGTCCATGATGCTTTCAATATTCTTTTCCAACAACATAACTCAAATGCATCGATTCTTCTACAGTCTTCCCTACTCATTGTCCAGCATTCACAGGCATATGATGTGACTGAAAACATCATGGCTTGGGTCAAGCAAACCTTAGTCCTCAAACTGACATCTTTGCTCTTGAACACTAAAAAAGTCTTTTGCAACCGACTTGCCTAATGCAATAATGCATCATTTGATTTCTTGACTGCTGCTTCCATGAATGCTGATTGTGGATCTAAGTAAAATGAAGTCTTTGACGATGTCAACATTTTCCCCTTTACCATAATGCTCTTCATTGATCAAATTGTGAGGATTTTTGTTTTTGTTACACTGAGGTGCAACCCATACAAAAGTATTCACCAGCCAGACTGACTGTGAGTGTTGCAAATGTAAAGGTAGGTGTTTTGTAACAAAAGGAGGGGAATGGTCGATTTTGCAGTCCAGGAGCAGAGGACCCTGGGCCCATCAAGGGAGAAGAGCGGAGAGCGGGACACTATCCAGAGAAGCAGTGATGCCAGAGATGCAGGCAGAAATGATGATGTGGAGAGATGGAGTGGCTGGGGACTCTGGACTCAGAGAGGGAGAGGGGCTGTGTGCTGACGATTGAGGGGCAGGGTTGTGGGCTGTACCCTTTGATTGTTTCATGGTGCATGGGGAGGACTGCAATCATTGCAATGAAACAAAATATGATAGGATGAATGTAAAGCTGATGTTCTCTCATGTAAACTACCACTCAATAAAACTTAAAAAATAAAAATTAAAAAGCATTTTAAGTCCTCTTAGCTTCCAGCATACAAGGTTGTATCATCTGTATATTGCAGATTGTTAATGAGTCTCCCTACAACCCTGATGCAATTTTCTCCTTCAAATAATCCAGCTTCCCAGATTATTTGCTCAAGATACAGATTGAATAAGTATAGTGAAAGGCTACAACCCCAGTGCACACCTTTCCTAATTTTAAACTATTCAGTGTTCCCTTGTTCTGTTTAATGACTGCCTCTTGGTCCATGCACAGGTTCCTCATGAGCACAGGTAAGTGTTCTGAAGTACCCATTCTTTGAAATGTTATCCACAGTTTTCTGATGTCCACACAGTTGAAACCCTTTGCATAGTGAATAAATCACAAGGAAACACCTTCCTCTTATTCTCTGCTGTTATCAATGGTATCCTTAGTCCCATGTCTTCTGAATCCAGCTTAAATTTCTGGCAGTTGCCTGTCAATGTACTGCTGCAATTGTTTTTGAATGATCTTCAGCAAAATTTTGCTTGCATGTGATATTAATGACATTGTTTGATGATATTGCATTCTGTTGGGTCACCTCTCTTTGGAATGGGCACAAATATGGAACAAATCCAATTGCTATACCAGGTAGCTGTCTTACAAATTTTGGGGCATGCAGGAGTGTGTCTCCAGTGCTGTATCAGTTTGTTGGAATATTTCAATTTGTATTCCATCAATTTCTGGAGTCTTGTTTTTCACAGTGACTTCAGTACAGCACCATCAGTTCTCGATCACATACTAACTCTATCAATGGCTGAGAATTGACCAGTTCTTTTTGGTACATTGACTCTGTGTATTCCTTCCATCTTCTTTTTTATTTTGCCCATTGTTGTTTTTAAATGCTGTCGAGTTGATTCCAACTCATAGCCACCCTGTATAGGGTTTCTGAGAAGTGATGGTGGGTTTGAACTACTGCCCTTGTGTTTAATAGTCTACTGCTTATCCTACAGTGATACACTAGGATTCACTCAATATTACAACCCAAGGCTTGACTTTTTTCTTCAATTCATTCAAAGTGAGGAATGTTGAGCACTATCTCTTTTGGTTTTCTAATTCCAGGTCTTTGCACATATCATTATAATACTTCGCTTTGTCATTTCAAACTGCCGTTTGAAATTTTCTGTTAAGTTTGAAGTTCACTTTCTGTTCACTTCCAGTTGCTATAGCTCCTCTACAACCAAGAACAAATTTCAGACCCTTCTTACACTCACTTTGGTTCTTTCTTTCTTTCCTGTCTTTTCAACAACCTTTTGCTTTCTTCTTCTATGATGTTCTTGATGTCATGCCAATACTTTTCTGGTCTTTGGTCACTGGTGTTTAATGTGCCAAATCTGCTCATAAGATGGTATCTCAATTCAGATGGGATATATTCAAGTTCTATTTGGCTCTCGTCTTATTTTAATTTTCTTCAACTTCAGTCAGAACTTGCATGTGCACAATCAATGGTCTGTTCTGCAGGTGGCCCCAGCTTTGTTTTGGTTGATGATACATTGAGGTTCTCTACCATCTCTTCCACAGATGTATTGAATTTGATACCTGAGTATTCCATCTGGTGAGGTCCATGTGTGTAGTCTCCTTTTATGTTGTTTAAAGAAGGCATTTGCAGTGAATAAGCCATTGGACTCGGGGGTGGCAGCGGTGGTGAGGTTGGCCCAGGATCGAGCATTGTTTCGTTCTGCTGTGCATGGGGTCGCTATGAGTCGGTTCCGACTCGATGGCACCTGACAACAACAACAACAAGCCATTGGTGTTGCAAAAGTCTATTATGCTACCTACACCGTTTCTATCACCAAGGGCATGTTTTCCAACTACCGATCCTTCTTTTTTGTTTACAGATGTCATATTTCAATCACCAGAAATTATTAATGCATCTTAATTGCGTATTTAATCAATTGCATACTGAAGAAGTTGATATAATTCTTCAGTTTCATCATTACTGGTTTAGAATAATATCTGATAATGTTGTTCTGCTATTTATAAGGCTTTCAGTAGTTAACCATACAGAAGTGGTCTGCCTCCCCTTCTTTCTAGTGATTGGAGTGAAAATTTGAATAATAGTCATATGAACTGGTCTTCCTTGTTGTTGTTAGGTTCCATCAAGTCAGTTACAACTCACAGTGATCCCATGCACAACGGAATGAAACAGAGTCATGTTCTGTGCCATCCTCACAGTGGATGTTACATTTAAGCCATTGCTACGATCTCTGAGTCAGTCCTTGTTTGGGATCTTCCTCTTTTTTGTTGAGCTTCTACTTTACCGAGTATGATGGTCTTCTCCAGGGACTGACCACTCATGCTAACACGTCCAAAGTTTGAGAGATGAAGTCTTGTCATCTTGATTTACAAGGACCATTCTGGCTGTACTTCTTTCAAGACAGGTTTGTTTTTAATTCTGGCAGTCCATGGTACTTTAAATAATCTGTCTTTATTGTGGTGGTGGTGGTGGTGGTGGTGTGCCGTGGAGTCAGTTCCAACTCATAGCGACCCTGTACAGGATTTCCAAGACTGTAAATCTTTACGGGAGACGAAAGCCTTATCTTTCTCCTGCGGAACAACAGGTAGTTTCAAACTGCTGACCTTGATGTTAGCAGCCTGATTCGTAACCACTGCATATTATACCATCACAGACATAATTGAATTCAAGATAGATCTTGAAATATTCTTTCTGACAATGAATATGAACCATTCCTCTTCAATTTTACGTTTCCAGCTTAGTTAACCATATGACTGTCTGATTCAAAATGGCCAAGACTAATCCATTTCAACTCACTAATGCCTATAATATCTCTCTTTATGCAATCCATTTAATTTTTGAAAGCTTCCAATTTTCCTAGATCCATACTTTGTACATTCAATGTTCCAGTTAGTAATGGATGTTTGCAGCTCTTTCTTCCCATTTTGAGTTGCTGTCCCATCAATAAATGGAAGAACCGAAAGCTTTACTCTGTTCTCATCATTATGGTCAGCTGTACTTTGAGAAGGCAGCTCTTCCTCAGTCTTATTTTGAATGCCTTCCTGGGAGGCTCATCTTCCTACACCATATATGATAATGTCCCTGTTATTCATAAGGCTTTCAGTGGATAGCTATTCAGAAGTGGTTTGCCTCTTCTTCCTCATGTGACTTGGTCTCGAATCTCAGCTGAAACCTGACCACCACAGGTGACCCTGCTGGTATTTGAAATATTGGTGGCTCGCTTCCAGCATCACAGCAGCACAATAGCCAGCACAGTACAACAGGTTGACAGACGAGAGGTGGAGTTGTGTGCTGAGGCTCTGTGCTGTGATTGCCTGGCTGAAGTACAGAGAATCCAGAATGTTTTCCAGAACTTACCAATGCTTTCTCCATCATCCCAGAACATCTGGCCATGAGCTTTCCCTTCGCTGTCCAAGGCAACAGTCAACCCCATGAATTTTTTTCGACTGTCAGAAAAAAAGGAAAGTTATTTTTCTCTATATTATAGGCTATAAGAGTACAGGACATTACTTATTCCTTTTTTTATGGCAATGAGTTAAATAGACATGCAAAGTTCTACAAACAGGCAAAATACAATCAAATCTAAGATTCTTAGATGTTAATGAAAAAAAGTTCAAATTTAATGATGCATTTGGCACAATTCCACCTTTCAAAAAGCAAGGACACATATTTACATATATGAGGGGGCTTTAAAAGTTCATAGGAAAATGGAATGAGAATATACTGGACTAGTTCCATAAGGTTTTTTGGAAGCTCCCTCAGAAACACATCACAGTGCAGCATGATGTAATATAAGTTCCTTAGGAAGAAGACCTTTTGTTTGCTGCTGGGTTACTATAGAAGTCAATCCAGAATCTTTAGTCTGTCATTGGCCCCCCTCCAGGACCTCATCCCAACCTTCATGACCTCGGCTATTTTACCCCTTTTCTTATCCATGCTCCAGGTGGACCCAATGAGTCTCAGTGACCCACTGCCATTGCATCTATGCCTATTCATAGCGACTGTATGGAACAGAGCAGAACTGCCCCATAGGATGCCCAAGGTCGTCAGTCTTTATGGTAGCAGACAGCCTCACCTCTCTCCCACAAAGCATCTGGAGGCTTGCAATCACGGACTTTTGGATTGGCAGTCCAATGTTTAATCTGCTGTACCAGTAGGACTCCTTGAACTGAATAACTTACTCTTCTCTTAACTCAAGTCCTTAGTCACTTCAGTGCATTAATCATTCCAGGATCTCTCTCCCCCATCCTCACACATTCAAATTCCAACCATGATGTCAGACCTGGCTCCAAGTCCTCTCTGCTATGAACCAGGCTTCACACCCCCATTCCTTTTGAATTGTCATTCTTCTTTTTGTGTGTCTCCCTCTTGGCACGGCATGTTCTGCTTACTGTTCTATTACATGTGGTGTGTGTGTGTGTGTGTGTGTGTGTGTGTGCCATTTGGGGGTTGATAAACATAGACCTGGAAATGAGCATTAAATCCCCAAGAAGAACCTCATCAAGACTCTCAACGTGTGTGCATGTGTTGACTTTCCAAGCCATCTTTACTGTGCCTTGGATAGAGTGGCCAAGCCAACAGATTGATAATCACAACACATTTCTTTGTCCTTGTGCGCCTTTGCCTTGAGCTGAATTGGTCATGCAGCAACCTGTGGCAACCAACAGACACTTTTTGGTTGACACAGATTGTCAGACTTGTCTCAGCTGTTTGTTTCAAAAGAATCCCATTGTTTTTATCATTAATGTTGTTGTTAGATGCCATCAAATCAATTCCAACTCATAGCAACCCTGTGTATAACAGAAGGAAATGCTGTCCACTCCTGCACTACCCTCACAATCATTGCTCCTTTTGCCCATTGGTGTAGCCACTGCGTCAGTCCATCTCATGGAAGGCCTTCCCTTCTTACTAGTCTGGAAAAAGATGCATGATGCTCTTCTAAGAAAACGTTTTGTCCCAGCTGTTGTCACAGCCCTACACATAAAGATCTCTCCAAGACAGGAACTCATCCTCCCACCCAAACCCAAATCAGAAGGTTCTCACTCGGGATAAAGCCATTGAGTCACTCCATAATTTGGTTTATACTCACATAACCCTGGCGAAGGTGAGATGGAGCCACCTGTAAGGTCAAATCTTCTCACCTATACCAGCTACTATTGCGTTGTTCCCAGTTCATGGCCATCCCATGTGTGTCAGAGCAGAACTGAGCTCCATAGTGTTCTCAATGACTAACTTTTTTTTTTTTTTTTTTGTAGATCACCAGACCTTCCTTTCAAGGCACCCCTGGATGAACTTGAACTTTCAGTCTTTCACTAGCAGCTGAGTGTGTTAACCATCATCACCACCCAAGGAATTGCTGTGATGTGGAATCAACTGGACAGCACCTAGTTGTCCTCACCTGTAGTTAGTGTTCATGGCAGGGTCCTGCCAGGGTAGGATGTAGCCTCCTCGGACATGAAGGTTGATGTGGTCCAGGGGAGCATTCAGGAGCTTCCACCTACCAACCGATTCCTCACCACGTTGCTGGAAGGGAGAACATTGGGAAAGAGTGGAGACAGGTAAGTAGAAGAAATGAATGTGTGCTTTATTGCAAGTCCTTCCTTTACAGGGTGCATATTGGAAAGAACATGAGCAGAACTCTGCATGCCTAAGGACAGAGCCTGATTGTTGGCTTTGCAAGAGTCTCTGGAGCCCAGTCATTTGTGTTCAATGAAGAAGCAAGACAGCCTTCTTTCCAAAGGGGCTCCTAGGAGATAGGGGAGGAGAGGAGAAGGCCCAATGTGAATTGGATGTTCAGGTTTTATCATTTTACCCTTTTATGTGAACTTTCATGTAAAGAAACCTGACATGGCTGAAAGATTTGGACAGTGGATCTGGGAGTCAAGAAGTCAGGAAATCTATCCATCTCTTTTGCCTTCAAGAACCAACTTCTTCCACTGTCTCTATACAACCAATAAATCTGGGTTGTTGTTTTTTTTATGATTTTTGACTTTTTCTCCACATTCTCTCCCACTCTATCCAGGACCTTCTCATGTGACGTTGATAATGGTAGCTAGGCACCATCTAGTTCTGTTGGTCTCAGAGCCCTGGAGACTGATGTTCACGTGACCCATTAATAAACTGGACTCATTGCTTCCATGTGTCTTCAGTTTTTATCACTCTTGTTTCTTCCAGACAAGGAGAGGGCGATAATTGTACCTTGATGTCTGCCATAAGCTTTAAGATCCCAGTTGCTACTCACCGGTGTAGGATGTAGAACACTGTCTTTGTCAATCCCTGAGACTCTGGCCCTTGAACACCCTTCAGGTCTGGAAGTGAACTCACGCATGGCTCAGTTTTCAGCCAAGCAATAGATAAGCAATAGATAAGGAGAGCAATCACACTAGGAAGGTAACCATATCTTAGAATAACCACCATTTGAGAATAAATGGGTGGTTTTTACTCAATGAATTAGGAAAGAAGGAGAAATGGAAAACAGGAAGCGCAGGGAGGAGGTGGGATAGGTGGTGTTACTTTGAGGGGATTGCCATCAATGAGATCAAATAAAACAAGTGTCGATTGGTGAATGGAAAAGTGTTCTGCTCTGTAAAATTATAAAAAAAAACAAACTAGCTTCTCTCGGCACAAAACGAGAAGTGAGCTCTTACCGTGCTATAGTCGTACCAACGGGCTCTGGGGAAGTAAGCAGAGATAGCAGTCGTGCCCTGGAACATAAGACCCACGTGCCATTAAGGAAATCATTTAATTTTATAAGCTTTTTCAGGAAAATTGAGATCAAAATGGGAATTTTATTACTGATTTCAAGACCTTGAGATCTTTTCTTTTTTAAAGTCCTAGGGAACACTTTTTCAAACACCCACAAAGGTAATTTTTTTTTTTTAATCAAATATTATAAGGGCATGAGGTGATAAAACTCATCATGTAGTCATGAAGATTTCACTACTGAAAACCTCCTTCAGAGGCCCCAGACAGGATTTGTCTGGCAGTAGGGAGCTGGATAGGTCTTTAAGTGGTAACCCATCTCCTGCTAACCTAAAGGTTGGCAGTTCAAACCCACCTGTGCTGACAAGGAAAGAAGGCCTAGAAAACAACTTTTATTAAAGATGACAGCCAAGGAAACCGTGTGAAGCTCAGTTCTACTCTGTCACACATGGGGTCACCAGCAACTGAAATCAACTCAACAGCCAACAGCACCAACTGGGAGATGGGCAAGGTGACCTTTAGGGTTCTCTTCATGTACTTTCAATGATGACATTGGAGGGTGTCTGGTGACTGACAGAAACTCACACTCGTCAGCACAGGGCTGATCAGGATGCCAGGACCCAGCATGAACTGATTGTCAATGTCCCAGGTCTGCTTGTCTTCTGTAAACCTTCAAGGATGCATGAGAAATAGTTACCCCTGTTGTGGAGAGTTATCACACACACCCAGCCCTGCTGTGTGGCAAGAGGCAAGACTTACTCATAGAAAAGAGGTCGGACCACAGTGCTGCCCTCAGCATGGGCTTTGTGCATCAGGGTGTAGAGGTACGGCAGCAGGGTGTATCTGGTCTGCAGGACACTCCTGGAGATGTCCTCAAAGGTGGCATTCCAGGACACAGGGTCTTGTCTCTAAAGGAGAAAGGAGGATCTTCACAGGACTCAACATTTCCTTCTATGGTGTTGACAAGAGCCAGCTGACACATACCCCATCTGTGGGCTATACCTCACACCTGCCTTCACACGTAGCCCAGCATCCCCCACCCCACCTGCTTACAAACTAGACTTTCTGCTTCCTCCTCTCTGTCGCCAGTTCCTGTGGCCCTGTTCAGGTCTAACATTGACCCTGCTAGTCTGTGGAGACAAGACTCCAGGCAGCACAACCATCTTGGGTGGGTTTGAGCAAAATGCAAATTACGTATTTTTAAACGGAAATAAGGCTTCTTCTACATAGGCCTATTTCTTTCTCCTTGGTATCGTCCCATCATGAGAATGGAAAAGCATTTTAAGAATTGTCGGTAACTCTAAGGTTCAGGTGGTGATGTGGGTTAGGCCTTGGTCTGATAACTTCAAGGTCCTCAGTTCAAACCCACCAGCTAAAAGATGAAGCTATCTGCTCCGCTCAAGATCCCAGCCTAGTCGCTGTGAGATGAAATGGACTTGATGTCGGTGTGTTTCACTTTTGGTTTCTACAGTTCAGAGTTCTTTCGGTTTTCCACAAAACAGAAGTTCTGATGATTTAAACTTTTTCTCTGGGAATAAGCATGATGCTCCTGAGGAGGGATGTCATCATGGTAGTTATGGGAGGTTTGCCAAAACCCACAGAACTGTACAATGCCCAAAGTGTGGGCCCTAGCTAATGAGAGTGGATCCACTTCAGTTCTTTAGTTGTAACAAACGGACCCCCTGTGTGGCAGGGGTGATGGAGGGGAGCCCTCTGTACTCGGAACCCAATTCTTCTGCAATCCCCAAACTGCTCTGCAACACAGTGTGTATTGAGGCAGAAGTGGTGATTTGGGGCTGTGAACAGCTGTCTCACCCTGGTCCCCATGGTGTTGTGGTTCCGAGAGAAGGGGTAGAAAGCCCCCAGCTGCATCCAGCGGATACACATCTCGTATTCTGCATTTCCAGAGAACCCGCAGATATCCGCTCCTGTCTGAGAAGGTGCAACATGAGGCATGAGATTGGGCTCATGTGGGCTGCTGGTACCTGAGAGCTGGCTGCCCCATCAGAAGGACCAAGGACCACTTACATAGGGCATTCCAAAGAGACTGAACTCCATCAGACCTGCAAGAGGAAGACACCTCTGGGTTGGACCAGGCAGCTCTTTGGGGAGGAGCAAAGTGTCACTGCCCCTTCCATACCCCATGCCCTGGGCCACTTCTGATAAAAATGTCTAATGATCAACATTCACACCTGGGGGTCTCAGTTCATGTTGGTTTCACCCCACACTCCCGCTACCCGATGTCCCTCACCAATGATGGATTTCCTCAGTTGGTCCCACATGGCCCTGTTGTCTCCCAGCCAGTGTCCTCCCCAGCGGCCAGAAGACGGGAAGGTGGAGCGGGTGATGACGACACCTCTTTGCCCTGTCACCTCCTGCACAGCTCTGGGTGGAGGGACAAGGAGGTGAGGCGAAGCGGCTTTGAGGATGCCATTCTGGCAGCATCTTCTGCCTGAGCCATGGCAGCAGGGAAACTTTCTACATCTGAAGGTTCTCCCTGAGAGGGTGCAGTGTCTACAGGGGATGCTATGAGCCCAAGAGCTTCCAGAAGGACAGCTGCGGGTATGCCAGCAGCTAGATGAGAGCGTCCTTCTAGGGAAAACATTGAACCAGCTGGTCTATGTGGAGGTAAGGGGTTAAACCTGTGGCTACCAACTGAAAGCTCAGCAGCTGTTCTGTGAGAGGAAGATGTGGTAGTCTGTCCCCATAAAGATTCACAGTCTCAGAGACCCCATGCGGCAACTCCACTCTGTCCCATGGGGTCCTGATGAGTCTGAATCCACTCAGTGACAACGGGCGTGGTTTGGCTTTACACAGAGGTAATGGGAGAGGTGGGATTCCTGGTGTAGCACTGTAGGATAAGCACTGAACTTTGAGCCATTAGGTCAGCAGTTCAAACCTACCAGTTGCACCTCAGAAACTCTGTACAGGTGGCTATGAGTTAGAATCCACTCAAAGGCAGTTCACAACAACAGCAGTGGGAGGGGCAGAGGTAGGATGAGTGTCTACTGAGAACTCTCTGCCCAGAATCATGCCGTCCACTTCCAAGTGTCCTGTCTCACACCTTGCTGTTGTTGTTAAGTGCCATCGAGTCAGTTCCAACTCATAGTGACCCTGTATAGGGTTTCCGAGGAGCGGCTGGAGGGTTTGAACTGCTGACTTTGTGGTTAGCAGTCCAGCGCTTATCCTATAGCTCCACAGAGGTAGGTTTTCCTGCCCTCCTTTTGAGGCTCTGAGAAGGTAAATGATGTGTCAAAGAGCCAAAGAGCGTTTAAGGAGCAGGGCACACCTCAGTCAGATCCCCTCCCCTCTGGCCTCCCGCATGACCAGAACCCACTCACATGAGTCCCCCTGACCGAGGCACACTCACTTGTAGGTGGACCTGGTCTGCGCCCATCCATACAGGCTGTGCACATCATAGTGCCGCACCGGGGAGCCATCTGCCAGCACCTGCTGACTCTCCATGCACAGGGTCTTGCTGCTCAGACCCCTGTTCCTGGACTCCAGAGCTGACGGGAGAGTTAAGTCATTACCAAAACACCTTGACTTGCACATTCACCCAAAACACCCACCATGTTGCACTTCCCTATGACATTCGGTGATTCTGTTATCAGGTCCAACTTTAAGGGTGTTTACTACACCCAGTCCACGTTTAGTGACTTTACAGCTGGTGAGGAGTGAAGGACAGGGCATGAAGCTGGGAGGGGGCTCTCCTTTGTGCTCCACAGTTCCTTGGGTGGGACAGTTAAGCACTTAACTAAAATGAAAGACTGGTGATTCTAACCCACCCAAAGCTGTCGTGGAAGAAATACCAGGTGATCTGCTTCTGAAAGGCACAGCCTTGAAAACCCTATGAAGCAAGTCCATGCTGCTGCACACGGAGTTGCCATGAGTCAGAATGAACTTGACAGTAACCAGCAACATTAACACAGCCCAAGTAGCCATGTCTGTCTCTCCCACTAGATGGCAATGTTCTCAAGGGAATAGAGTTCCTTTCAGCTGATTCCTAGATCCACCAGTCTCTGTGTCAGCACTCAGCGGACACGTATAACACAGGATCAGGAAATGGAGAGTGAACCAGTGAGGGAGTCACCCGTCCACTGAGCAACTGGCAGTGTAGCGGTCCCCCAGTGCAGATGGCCTGGCCTCTCCATACTGCTCCACAAGGGACTGGCGAGGTGCTTTGGAGAGGTGGGTCCCTCCTGGGCCTCTGTGAGGGAGGGGACTCAGCTTTCTGAGACCCCTTCCATCCCAACATCCTATGAATTTCTGTTCATATTTGCACCATAGTCTAACCATGAGATCCTTCATGAAGTGTCTGGGCATGCGCAGAGAGGCCAGGACTACGCTCCATCCTCTAATCAAGACAGAGAGGGGCGGAGGGAAGGAGAGAGGAAGAGAGACAGACAGCAAGAGAAGGCGGGGTTGTTTAAAGTTTGGGAAACCAGTCCTAGTCACCATGGTAACTGGAGGTTCCACTTTGTGTAGCCCCATCCATGCCACAGCTGGTCCTCTTTACATTTGTGCTCAGTGATGCATTTCCTGTGGCTCAAAATTCAACATTCTTCTCCTGGGTTCTTATGCCCTGCTTTCAAGTATGTGATCTGTCTCCAACATGAACCTTCACTTTGATGGAAAGAGGAAACTTTCAGGGCTGGGGCAGGGAACAGACTTGACATGACACCCATTGAACATACCCGGCATATAGGGAGGGTTATTCAGAATGTCATCCCGGCAGCCCCAGACAGATCCATCCACAAAATTTGATGGCTCGTTCATATCCTGAAATGAGTTAGCAAAGAGGATTCCATGACATCAAGACATTTGTGGCAGGGGACGCTGAGTTTGAGGAGGAGGTTGGGTTGCACAAATGTCTCACACTGGCTGGAGGCTGACTTAACCCCAGGCAAGGACCCAGGTGGGCACTAAACAAATGTGTGGGTTTCAGGAGAACCATAAACTCCTGTGGTCCCAACACTTAGAATGCTTGGCTGCTAACCAAAACACCCCGATGTACCTTAGAAGAAAGACCTGGCAAGCTATTTCTGAAAAAAATCAACTGCAGTTGGAATTGAGTCCCTGGCAACTGGCTTTCACTTACTTGGGATTTTTGTGAGGGTTGTTCCACATTCGGCAAAAAGACTGAGATTACGCTGGACCTGGAGCCTCAGGGTATCCCTCTAGCTTCACCTCCCCACACAGAAGCCCACCTTTGCTTTCTGTCTGTGGGTTCTTCACTGTCATCTGAGGCCGGTGATCACTAGTATCTCCCCTACACTCTCATAACCCAACAACTGAATTAATTCCAACACCAGCCAGGACCAAAGACAGAGTGGAGTTTCTCATTGTCTGTGTTACACACATTCCTGAAAAGGTGTTGGTAATTTGGAAACAAATCTGGAAATGAGATCATGCTTAAGGGAAACATGACTTATGTGCAAAGAGCAGAGACTCACAACGTAGAAACATTATCGATGGGAATGCTAAAGTTTGTACTGTCACACACCTCAGAAACATTGTGGGCTCAGTTCCAGATCACCACAATAAAGTGACTATCCCAAGAAAGCAAGTCATTGGGATTGATTTATTCCCTAGGGTATTTTTAAACTTATGCTTCTATTACACTGCAGTCAAGTGGGCAACGTCGTTGTTAAGTGCCGAGAGTCGGTTCTGACTCATAACGACCCTGTATACCGTTTCGAGGTTATATATCTTTATGGGAGCAGAAAGACTCATCTTTCTCCAGTAGAGCAGCTGGTGGGCTCGAACCACCAACCTCGTGATTAGCAGCCTAGTACTTATCACCGCACTCCCAAATATACAATGTTGTTTTTATTAAGTGTTATCGAGTCACTTCCGACTTATAGTGACTCTGTGTAGGGTTTCCGAGGAGTGGCTGGGAGTTTGAACTGCTGACCCTGTGGTTCAAACTGACCTAGCAATCCTGTGCTTACCCTACAGCACCACACCAGGACTCCAAGTATATAATGTTGTTGTTGTTGTTGTGAGTGCCATTGAGTCGGTTCCAACTCAAAGCGACCTGTAAAGGATTTTCAAGGAGTAGCTAGTAAGTTTGAACTGCCAACCTTATGGTTCACAGTCCAGTGCTGATCCTACAGGGCTATTAGTGCCACCCCAAGGCTCTAATACGTACACAATGTTGTTGTTGTTAATTGCCGTAGAGTCGGTTCTGATCTATAGTGACCCTCTATAGGGTTTCTGAGGATCGGCTGGTGAGCTTGAACCACCAACCTTGCGGATCAAACTGACTTTGCAGTCCAGCGCATTAACCCACAGCACCCCATCAGGACTCCAAGTAGACAATAGCATGATGACAAAGTCTGAAGTATTGTGAGGAAGACCAATGTGAGGCAGAGATACAGAGTGTGCTCACACTATTCAAACACGGTACCCGTGAACTTGCTTGATGCAGGGTTGCCACAAACCTTCAATTTATTAAAAAGGAAACACAACGTGGTATCCGTAAGGCATAATAACATGAAATGCAATACAACGAGGTATGCCTTTATCTTGTTGTTGTTGTTGTTAAGTGCCGTCGAGTTGATTCCGGTCCATAGCGACCATGTATAAGCTTTCCAAGGAGCAGCTGGTGAGCTTGAAATGCCAACCTTGGAGTTCAAATCTACCTTGCAGTCCAGCGCTTTAACCCACAGTGCCACAAATAGCATGGTGGCTCAGTGGGTGAGGCACTGGGCAGCTCCCTGCAAGGTCAGCTGCTGGAACTTAACCAGCCACTCCTGGAATGAGAGATGTGGTCTGCTCCCTTAAAGATTCACAGACTCAGAAAGCTAATAGGGCAGTTCTCTCTGTCCTTAGGGTCACTCTGAGCTATGCTTTAGGAGTGTGCTTGGACATGTGTTCCAGAGGTTCTCAGAGAGTCCTGTTCTGGAACCCATGGACATAGGCGCCAGACAGGACAGACTGTGTTCCCAGACCGCAGTTCTGAACTCCCAGAGTCTCTGCGCCAGGACCACTAGCTACCCCACCCTAGCTCTGCTTTGTGTGGGACGGGCTCTGGGTTTTCCCACCCACTGACTCCCATCTGGGAGAGACCTCTGGGAGGGTCTGGGGTGGGGGAATGAGAGAAGTTAAAGTGTTTCTCCCCTCCTCCTGGCAGCATTGCCTCCCTGGGCTCTAACTTCCAAGGGGGCAGGTTGACCATGATGGACCGACATCATCTCCAGCAGGACCTTCTGTAGCAGCACCCCCTCCCTCGCATCCCTCAGCCCTACCCCTGTTCCACCAGTCTCTGAATTGCTCCCCATGCGTGTCACCAACATTTCCAAAGAGAAACAAGCAAAGGTGCACTCACCAGCCTCAGCCCATCGAACTTCAGGCTCTTCTCTGGCTCCCGAGGGTTTTCATAGAGCTCTTGGATCTCTTTCTTCCACCACGTGCTTGTGCTGTTACGTAAGAAGTCGGGAAATGCCACGTGGGCCCTGTACAACTGGGAGAAGAAGGCATGTGCTTTGGTGGGGCTCAGCCTGCTCAGGTAGGGGGTCCAGCTGAGAGGCACCTGGACCAAGCACTGACCATCAGTCTCTGACCTAACTTGCAGCTCCACTCTCCTGAGATACAAAGAGACCATGCAATGCAGATGGAATTTTTTTTCTTTTCCTAGAAGATCTTATGGAATTTGTTTTTTGCCTGACCATTTAATCAAGAGAACTGAAGAATTCACAGGCAGCGTCTAAACAGTTGAACTTCAGAGATGCAGATACACTGGCTAGTCTACACTGGCTAAATAAACAAAGGGTGCTCAGTAACCTACAGAGAAGGAGCTGTGCACTGCAGGAGATGCTAGGTGGCCTGGCTCTTGTGAGTATCAGAAAGGGCTGAGATCAAGGGCATTGCTCCTTTGGAAGTTTCACATTTTCTGTTTCATGCAAACAATTCGTTAAAACCCAGACTGTTCATAACAAGTATCTCTTTGCTAAAATGATTCTAGATGTTGGTTCATTCCTGTCCAAGCAACTTAAGCTTCAAACACAACACAGCCCAAAGACACTCAGGTGGAGGGATTTCCGACTGTGTTTTCCTGACACGTATTTCCATTGTTGCTGTTGGTTGAATTTTCTATTTGACCATCTCTCTCTGCCAAGAATCTACCCAAACTTAATACAAGCATACTCAGAAGAAGCCATCAGCATCAAAATGAAGCACATGAGCACCTAGGTGTTTGGGGTAATGTGGATAACTGTACCTTCACCTGAGTGTCCTGGTCCAAGGATCCATCCACATTAACATTGGGCAGATCTGGCCATGTCTAGAGCAGAAGAAGACACATTCAAACTTTAAAGGCTTTGCATGCTCAGCAGTGAGGTGTTCCACATACCACTCGAATGATTTACATCTTCAGAAAATGTTTGTAGATCGTGGTCATGACATTGAAAAGGCATAAATAAGAAATTCTGCTAGGTGGCTGGAGCTGGGATCTATAGTCACACTGTACTCATTCCACAATCTCATTTCCAACCTAATGGCCAGCTAAGCCCATTTTAAATATATCCTCCAAGCAGTCACCTTCCAGAACTCATTCACCTTGTGATCTACCATGGGTAGACCATGACACACAATTCTTTCTATAGATAATAACTCTAAGGTGTGATTCTAAAGAAATAAGACTGAGTTCCAGCCACAGCTTATCAAACAGTCTCAGTGCTTGTCAGCCACATCATGGACTTTTGGGGAGACTCCAATCTAGTTGTTGCTTTGTTGTTAGGTGCCATTGAGTTGGCACCAACTCATAGTGACCCTAGGCACAACAGAACAAAACACTGCCAGGTTCTGAGCTAACCTCACAATTGTTGCCATGCTTGAGCCCATTGATGCTGCCACTTTGCTAACCCATCTCGCTGGGGGTCTTCCTCTTTTTCTCTGATCCTCCACTTTACCAAACATGATATCTTTCTCCAGTGACTGGTCACTCCTGACAATATGTCCAAAGTATGAGAGACGAAGTCTGGCCATCCTGGCCTCCAAGGAGCATTCTGGCTGCACTTCTTCCAACACAGATCAGCTGGTTCTTTTGGTAGCCCATGGTACTTTCAGTATTCTCCTCCATCACCATAATTTGAAAGCATCAATTCTTCTAGTCTTCCTTATTCACTGTCCAGCTTTCACATGTATATGAGGTTATTGAAAAGACCATGGCTTGGGTCAGGCACACCTTACTCCTCAAGCTGACATCTTTATTCATCAACACTTTAAAAAGGTCTTGTTCAGCAGATTTGCCTAATGCAATGCGTCATTTGATTTCTTGACTGCTGCTTCCATGAGTGTTGATATAGTTGATCCAAGAAGAATGAAGTCCTTGACAACTTCAATCTTTTTGCCATTGATAAGAATGTTGTTTATTGGTCCAGTGGTGAGGATTTTTGTTTTCTTTGCACTGAGATGCAATCCATACCTAATGCTGTGGTCTTTGATCTTCATCAGTAAATCTTATAAATCCTCTTCACTTTCAGCAAACAAGGTTGTATAATCTGCATATTGCAGGTTGTTAATTAGTCTTCCTCCAATCCTGATGCCATGTTTTTCTTCATAGAACCCAGCTTCTTGGATTATTTGCTCAGCATACAAGTTGAATAAGTATGGTGAAAGAATACAACCTTGTCACATGCATTTCTTAATTTTAAACCTTTCCGTGTTCCCATGTTCTGTTCAAACAACAGCCTCTTGGTCCATATACAGATTCCTCATGAGCACAATTAAGTGTTCTGCAATACTCATACTTCACAATATTTTCCATAGCTTGTCATGAGCCACACAATTGAAAGACTTTGCGTAGTCAATAAAGCACAGGTAAACATCTTTCTGGTGTTCTCTGCTTTCAGCCAAGATCCACCGGACATGTGTAATGATATTCCTCGTTCCATGTCCTCTTCTGAATCTGGCTTGAACCTCTAGAAGTTCTCTGTTACTGTATGCTTGTAGCTGTTTTGTGTTAATTTTAGTAAAACTATATAGCCTTATAATATCTATGGTAAAAGAGCCAATTTCATCTATAATTAGACATTGACTATATACATTTGTTAAGTGGTGCATGTGGCAAACACGCTATTCTAGGTGATGCATTTATGGAGATCTAAGTAAGAAATGTGCTACAATTAAGAGGACTTAAAATACTTACTGATGAAGATCAAAGACTTCATCAAAAACCTTCAGTATGGATTACATCTCAATGTAAAGAAAACAAAAATCCTCACCACTGGACCAATAAACACCATTCTTGTCAATGGAGAAAAGATTGAAGTTGCAAAGGACTTCATTCTTCATGGATCAACTATCAACATTCATGGAAGCAGCAGTCAAGAAATCAAAGGACGTATTGCATTAGGCAAATCTGCTGCACAAGACCTTTTTAAAGTGTTGATGAGCAAAGATGTCAGCTTGAGGACTAAGGTGTGCCTGACCCAAGCCATGGTATTTTCAATAACCTTGTATGCATGCGAAAGCTGGACAGTGAATAAGGAAGACCACAGAAGAATCGATGCTTTTGAGTTGTGGTGTTGGGGGAGAATACTAAAAGTGCCATAGGTTGCCAAAAGAACCAACAGATCTGTGTTGGAAGAAGTATGGCCAGAGTGCTCCTAGGAGGTCAGGATGGCCAGACTTCGTCTCCATATTTCGGACAATTGTCGGGAGTGACCAGTCACTGGAAAAGAATATCATGTTTGGTAAGGTGGAGGGTCAGAGAAAAAGAGAAAGACCCCCAGCAAGATGGATTGGCAAAGTGGCAGCATCAATGGGCTCAAGCATGGCAACAATTGTGAGGTTGGCCCAGGACTGGGCAGTGTTTCGTTCTGTTGTGCATAGAGTCACTATGAGTTGTAACCAACTTGACGGCACTTAACAACAACAAGTAATAAATAGTCCTTGATTTCTAAGAGTTCGTAGGTGGTGAGAGAATGCTTGATTCTACGCTGCACCTTCTAAGGACTGTGATACAGACAAGGGAGAACTAGGGAGAACTAAAGTAGTCATTGAAGGCTTTGGAGGTGGACGGTTTAAGTTGGCTCTTGAAGTGCAGATCTGGTTTGGGTTAGCTGAGCTGGCAAAATTAATTCAAGCAGTGTGATCATGGCATGTTCCCAGAACGACAAGAAGTGATGATGTATCTGGTGATAACAGAGCTTGAGGGCTTTCTTCTAGAGTCAGGGAGCCCTTATAAGTCAGGGGAAGGAGGGAGGGAGAGATGGTACACGACTGAGTGGCTGATGTAGATGTGTTGCTGTCTGTTATCGTTGAGTTGAATCTGACTCATAGTGACCCTGTGTGTGTCAGAGCAGAACTGTGCCCCACAGGGTTGTGACTGTCACCTTTATGGAAACAGATCACCAGGCTTTTCTTCTGTGGCACTTCTGGGTGGGTTTGAACCACCAACATTCAGGCTAGCTGTTGATTGCAAATCACTCCCGCCACCTAGGATCTTAGATTTAGAGAGGAGGCTGATGAAGTCTCACTGGTCAAAGAGGAGAACTTGTTTTGAGGGCAGGTGTCAGGGATGTATAGATTTCTAAGTCATGCTTGAAAAGTGTCCTTGTGTTTGTGAAATGACGAGCTAGACTAGAGCAGTAGGGTGGGCAGGGAACAGGCAGATGACAGTATTTGCAGACAAGAAAACAAAGCACCCAGATGATGTTATGAGAGTTCCAACTGCACCCTTGGTTTTAGTGATTCTTCTCAGCTAATCAGTGTCAGACAGATTCCTCCTCATTCATAATGTATTAATTGCCTAATACATTTTTCTGGGATTTATTAAGGGCATCATTTAATCAAGAGACTGTGATGCTGATTAGCTACAGACGACTTACCTTCCCCCAGACAATGTCACCGGTGTTAGGCCATTTGATGAACACATTGTTTGCCTGCCCCCTGGTGAAGGGCAGATACCCAGTCTCATTGCCAGAAATGGCTGGGTCCTGTGGGAGAGGGATTTAAAACAACAAAAGTGGGAAACACATATCCAAGACACGTCCCCTCCAAAATCTGACTAAACAATGAGCCTTAACACCAAAGGCCACAGGCAGTGTTCTGATGTCCAGTCAGTATATTATTACTGCCCATGCATCAAGTCAGTTCCAATTCATGGCAGCCCTGTGGGGTGGGGGTGAGTGGGCGGGCAGAGCTGCTCCCCTTAAACCACCGACCTCCCAGTTGACAACTTAGCATTTAGCCTCTGCACCAAATGCACGAGTATTCCAGTTACCCAAAATGAGATCTACCCTCTTTATGAAAGATCATTTCTTTTAGTGGGAATAAGAACCTGCATTTGATAAAATGAAGGTTATAGAAAACTACCATCCCAAGATATATGACTGAAAAATTTTAAATACTGTAGAAATTAAAACATGACACACCCGAGTGACTTTCCAATGGCATCATAATCTATACAGAAGACACCACTAGGCTGAGTTTGCAGAGTGTAAGAGCAGCATTCCTTATGAACAGGAAAGGCCCTTCTAGTCTCTGGCCTGACCCAGCAATCTGAAGCAGCCCCCACTCACCTCAGCCTACGCCTGCCCTAACTAGTCTCTGTAATAGTATACTGCCACATGAAGTATCACCATCAGAATTACCCAGTTTTATGTTTCTTTGTTGGCTGTCTCCTCTCACTAAAATACAAGCCCTATGAGAAAAAGAACATCTCATCATCTAATTTAAATCCATTTATGTATGCATGTGTGTACATGTACACAGGCATATATGTATTCATATGTATGTGCGCTCATGGTCGCAGTACATACATGTGTATGTGCACATGTGTACAGGTATATATCGTGTGCATGTGTGATGATGTTTGTATGTGTGTGTATATTCATATGTGTGCACATACATGAACACGCATCTATAGGTGTTTGCATGTGTGTGTTTATATATGTGTGCACATGCATGTGTGTCATGCATGCATCCGTATATTGCATGCATGGTTATATGTGTGAGTGTGCACATGTGTGTATGTTATCTGTGTGCACATGTGTGTAGATATGTGCATGCGTATATACATGCATGCTTATGTATGTGTGTGCATGTGTGTTTATGCATGTATATGGATGTGTTTGATGTACACAAGTATGGGTGTGTGTCTGTTTATATATGTGTGTGTGTTTATGTGTGTATGCATGTGTGTGGGTGTGTGTCTATGTGTGTTTGTATGTGTGTATGTATGGTTAAGTGTGTGTGTGTGTATGCATGTATGCATTTGAAGGAGCCCTGTTGGTAAGTGGTTAAGTACTCTGCTAGTAACTGGACCAAAACAAGAAACAAAAGACACTGTCATCAAGTCAATGCCAACTCAAAGCAACCCTGTAGGGCAGAGTTGTTAAGTGCCATTAAGTCGTTTCCAACTCATAGAAACCCTGTGTAGGGTTTCTGAGGATTGGCTGGTGGATTTGAACCACCGACCTCACAGTTCAAATCCACTTTGTGATTCAGTATTTACCCTGCAGCGCTACACCAGGACTGCTAGAATTGTTTTATTGGATTTCCAAGACTGTAGTCTTTATGGAAGCAGATTGCCTCACTTTCTCTATTGGTGTAGCTGATGGGTTAGAACCACTGACCTTTCAGCTAACAGCTGAGTGCTTTAACCACTGTGCCATCAGAACTCCTTTGGTGACTGAGAGGTTGGCTACATATGTGTAGGTGTGGCCTTGTAAGATAAGCAAAAGGTCAGCAGTCCAAACCCACCAGCAAGCAGCTCCTTAGAAACCCAAAACAGGGTGGCTATGTGTTGGAACTGACTCAATGGCACTTAACAACTTAAAAACAAAATATAACGCTAGAGTGCTGATTTCCAAATAACCAGCATTCAATAAATAGTTGAATGAAGGAATGGATGAACAAAAGTCAGCAAAGAGCACTAATTTTCAGAAGCTGGGAGGAGACAAGCTCTGCATGAGAAGATGGGAGTGGGAAGGACCAGGAGGCTGCCCCACTGCCCAGATCCCCAGTAAGGAGCACAGTGGATCCACAGCATAGGCACTGGACTGGGAACCACAAGGTCAGTGGTATGAGCTCACCAGCCAATCCATGGTAGAAAGATGAGACTTTTTGCTCCCCAAAAGATTTAAAACCTTAGAAATCCACTACAGGGTTTCTATGAGTCGGAATTGATTTGACAGCACTTAGCTACAACAAAAATAATTCTGTATTGACCAAGCCATAGACTCTAATATAGAATTCCAAGGGGACTAAGTCCCTGGGCCTTATTAATCGCTCTGAGGCTCAGTCTGAAGAGTAGAACACTCCCTCTATCCCCAAGATACTCAGTATTTCCCTCTGCTCCTTACTCTACTGAGAGGAAGGTAATAATAGATTATTATGTTCCAATGACATTTACTTATAAAACATAAATGTTCCAAAATATCACCTTTCAAAAACTTGTGGCTTTGTGTGTTGTTGTTGTTTTTTCATTTGTTCTTTCTTCCTTTGCTCTTTCACATTAAAACATTTTTAAATGATCAGTTTCCACCATTGGTAATGTCTCAGAACATGAAGCACAGATACAGACAGAGAATCAAAGCTGTCTAGATACCTACCAGAGTGGGAATAAATCTCATGCCCTGTGCCTTCATTTTGTCAATGAGTTGGGCAAGGCCTTTGAACTTGGGGCTGAGGGTGAAACCCAGCTTCCGATCCATGTAGTCCATGTCTATGTGCTGTACATCCTGTGGGAAGGAGCAAATCACAACACTCAGGACCCCGCAGATGCCCAAGGGCACCAGCCCTGCTCAGCCAGCCCCAGCTGACCCCCTTTATTCCTCCATAACCACCCACACTGACTCTTCAATTCTGCCAACTCCAGCATGCCCCTGCCCTCCATTTCCCCCTTCTTTCCCTGCGTTCTGTCTTCTCTGCTCCTCAACTCTTGAATTCCTGGAGTCTTCCAACAGAGTTCCTCTTGACTTGCTCAAGGCTAGAGAATGGGACGTATCTGGGAAGCAGAAATGATGGTCCATCTGGTTCTTGGTCATTCCCATAGTGGGTCTGACTGGGTGTCTTTGCATTTAGAACTAAATTTCTCCCACTTTCTAAAATGTAGACATTTAGATGGTTCTTCAGATGAGATCATGCCTTCCCTGCCTTCTACACCCAGTACCGATCTACCTTGTTTTCTTGCGTTCCATAGATACTGTGTTTTTGTTGTCACTGTTGTTGTTTTACAAACTGAAGATTTGTGGTGACCTGTGTGGATCAAGTCCATCAGTGCCATTTTCCCAACAGCATGTGCTCACTTCGTGTCTCTATGTCACATTTTGGTAATTCTCGTGTTTCAGACTTTATTATAATGATTCGCACACTTGATAAACCATGTTGTTGGTAAGTGTTGTCAAGTTGGCTCCCACACATAACAATCTGGTGTAGGGTTTCCAAGAAGTGACTTGTGGGTTTAAACCACCAACCTTGTGGTTAGCAGTCTCATGCTTATTCTACAGCACCAAGCCAGGACTCTGTGACACATTACAATTTAGTAAAAACATAATTCTTATCTGCGCTGGGAAACTGAAAGGTCTGTGGTGTGAACTGTTTTATTGTTGTGGCCTGAGATCAAACCCACAACACTACCAAAGACTGTCTGTACCAACCCAGGTTTCTGTACATGAAACTAACTCAATCCATGATGCCCAATGATGCCTAAAGAGTCTAATACTCAAGTGACAATAAAGATGCTTCCTGGATGGAATTATCACCCTGATTCCATTAAGTGGAGTTTGGTGGTGCTGAAGGATAAACATTGAACAGAGACCCACAAGGTTGGTGGTTTGAACCAATCAGTTGCTCCATGGGAGAAGATGAAGCTTTCTGCCCTAACAAAGATTTACAGTCTCGGGAATCCTGTATAGGGTTGCTATGAGTCAGAACCAACTTGACGGCACTTAACAACAACAACAACAACATTGCACTAAGACTCCAGGTAGAACTTGTTTGGCAGGGAGGAAACACATGTTTAAGGCAAAACTCAGAAAAGAATGAAACCATATATTATTAACATCAATTGCTTTGGTAGGGTAGAGTTTTGAATTCTAAATTTTTTTTTTTCTAATTTCCTAATGTGGGAGCTCTGGTAAGCATAGTGGTTACAAGTGGGACTGCTGTCTTCAAGGTCAGCAGTTTCAAACTACCAGCCATTCTGTGGGAGAAAGATGAGTATTTCTGTTCCCATAAAGGAACTCTGGTAATGTAGTGGTTACAAATCAGGCTGCTAACCTCAAGGTCGGCAATTCGAAGCTACCAGCTGTTCCACGGGAGAAAGATGAGGCTTTCTGCTCCTGTAAAGATTTGCAGCCTCGAAAACCCTGTCACTATGAGCTGGAACTGACTCCACAGTACTTAACAATAATGACAACAACAAAGATTTATAGCCTCAGAAACCCTATAAAGGGTCATTATGAGTCGGAACCAACTCCACAGCACACAACCACCACCAATGTAGGATCAGCACTGGATTGCCAACCACAAGGTCAGCACTTCAAACCCACCAGCTGGTCCTCAGGAACCTTATGCAGGATCTCCATGAGTCAGAGACAACAACCTCCAAACATTCATTCCTGTAAGACTTGAAGACTTGGAAGCAGAGAAATGGACTGAAGGATGAGGCACCAAAGGTAAGTGGAGAAAGAGCATGTTATCTGTGAACCTCTGTTGTTGAAGACGATGAGTCAAGTCTGGTGACTTGTGTGGGGATGCACAGTCACTGGGGGGGTGTAGATGGTGCCTATGTGTATTCCAGAGAACGTGAAGGCTTGCTTTCTTCATACTGACCCTTTGCATCCATCTTCTCCAAGAACAGCCCCAGTATAATCTCTTAACTCTCCACTTGCCGGTTGCCATCCAATCAATTGTGACTCATGGCAAGCCCCTGTATTAGAGAGTAGAACTGCCCCACAGGGTTCTCAAGGCCTTTTGGAAGCAGATTACCAACTGTTTGTCCAAGGAGTCTGTGGTTAGTAACCAAGCACTTAACCAATTGTGCTACTCTTAGCACAACCCTGTGTGACAGAATCCATTCTAGGAAACTCGAGAACTCAATGGTTATCACTGAATAGATTCTTAGGAAGGTTCTTTAGCTAATAGTCAAGAGACAGAAATACCTCTCCAGAGTGTCAGTTGAAAAAAGAAAGACCCTCAATGACATAGATTAACATAGTGGGTTTAAACAAAGCAATGACTCAGATTTCCACTCAAAATCCCAGAGTCATGGATTAGAACCCACCATGGCTACTGAAGGACACTTGTGACATGGGACAGGAAGCACCAGTACCCCCATCCCCATGGGCTGAAAAATTTGTGCAATACTGTGGCATTGTTGTTGTTGTTGTAAAGTGTCATCGAGTCGATTCCGACCCATAGCGACCCTGAAAGGGTTTCCGAGGAGCAGCTGGTGAGTTTGAACCACCAACCTTGCAGTTCAAATGGCTTTTCAGTCTGATGCATTAGCCCACGGCGCCACCCGAGGGGAGCAGAAATACATTTTTAAAGCAGGATATTCCACACAAACCAATCACTACATTTCCTTCTTATACTGAAATATAAGAGTTCCTCTTGTACTGAGGAAGCCATGTGGGAGAAGGTAAGCAATCAAAAGTGCAAGTTCAAGAAAGTGTTTCTACATCACAACCTAAATGGCAAACTCCAGGTCCACATGTCATCTGTAATTTCTAAGGATGCATTTTCCATATACAATTGGCTATGAATTCCCATAAATAATTACAACACAGGAATGGAGCTTTCATACGTAGGGGATCTGGGCTGCCATCATCGCATCATACAAATCAGAGATCTCAATGTCATTGTGGTATCCATAGCGACTCAGCTGGAATCCCAAGGCCCAGTATGGAGGCATCATTGGTCGGCCAATCAGCTAGAAACAAAGAGAAAAATGGACCCAGGTAACCTTCTTGGGAAAGGGAGGACCATGGGCTTATACTTGAAACACCTTGAATATTTCTACTGGAATGCTGTCAATGTGAACAATATGAATCCTCACTTCCAAAAAATAACAGCCAAATTAAAGGACAACCATGAGGATTCAAATTGAGAGCAATTTTTTCTTCCATGCTTTCCTATAGTTTGGGATTTCCATTCTCAGAAACTGGAAATAGTTGAATAGATTCTTAAGAAAGCTATTAGCAAATAGCCAAGAGACAGAAATGTGTCTCTAGAGTTTCAGTTAAAAAGAGGAAGACCCTCTATGAGATGGGTTGACACAGTGGCAGCAACAATGGGCTGAACCAGAGCAACAACTGTGAGGACAGGGCACTACCAGTGTTGTATTCGCTTGTACTTGAGATCGCTATGCGTGTCAGCTGACTTAATGGTGCCTAACAACAACATGGAAGGGATATTAATATGTTTTCATATCTCCTTAATTCAATCCTGGCTTTCAGGGGAGACAGCAATATCACAGTGGGGATATCTGAGGGGGTGGCACCACCCTGAAAATGTGATAATGTCCTATAAGTGTTTGGTGGTTTATCAGTGGATAGAGAGCTACCAACCTCAGTGTACTGCTGGGCTACAAGTTCAGGAGTTGGTCCCAAAAACACATAAAAGTCCAAAATCCCTCCTATGGTACGATACGTCAGGGCAGGTGTTGGCTGAAGTGTCACATCTGTAAGTGAAGATAGATGATAAGGAACATCACTGAGGCTGTCAGACCACTCAGAGAGGGACCTTCCCCTAAAATGTACCAAACTGCTCTCCCTAAAAAATCTTCAACCCAGTGGCATTAGAGATGGACTCAACAGGGTACCTGACTGGGTGGAAGGGGCCACAAAACCACAGCCACATAAGACCACACAAGACTAGGGACCATGTGGAGTCAATATTTTACACCTAACCCAAAAAACACACCAAACCCAAGTTGTCAAGTCAAGTCAACTGAGTTCTACTCTGTCAAGTATGGCAGAATAAAGTTGAGGCCCATAGGGTTTCTTGGCTAAAATAATAGCTGGCCTGGAGCACTTATTTGTTTGTTTCCATGTGTATTGATATCCCAGATCCCCATAAGGTGGTCATATCTGTTTATGGGGTACATGAGGAGGGTGCCCAGTCTTACCCATGGCATTGCTGTTGAGCAGGAGCACACCGTGGGCACTGCCATTCTCCTCCAGTGCCATGTAGTAAGGGTGCACGCCATAGGAGTTCTTCTTGTACTGGGGGAGCCAAGGGGGAGAAGGTAGGCAATCAAAAGAAAATGCCCAAGGACATTGCTCCCACATCATCACCTAAACAGCAAACTCTTGGTTCCCATTAGAGACTCAGCTCAAAGCCACATCCTCTGCAAAGTCTTGCTGGACTCCTCCCCTGACCCTGAGGGATGAATCCCACTCTGTCCCTCCTTTATTCTTATTAGATCATTCCACCACAGTATTCATGACACTCTTATTATAATTATCTCTGCATCTCTCAACCACAATCCATGAATAATCACAGCATCTTATTAAATTCAAAGCCAAGGACTTAGTAATGGTCGGACATAGTTATTGTTGTTAAAAGTCATCCATTTCATTCCAATTCACAGTGATCTTGTACTGGGTTTCCAAGGAGCAGCTGGTGGGTTTAAACCACTGACCTTATGGTTAGCAGTCCATTGCTTATCCTGCAGTGCCACACTAGGACTTAATAAATGTTTGTGAGGTAATTACGATGCATAGTCCATAGGGAAAAAAACACACAGGTGTTTTAGAGACAAAAAATGTCTGACAATAAGATTTATCAATGAAAGATGAAGTTGTGTGAGTACCAAACCCGTTGCTCTCAAGTAAATTCCAAAACACAGCAGCCCTTTAAGCCAGGACAGAACTACCCCCACAGAGTTTCCAAAGCTGAAAGCTTTACAGGAGCTGGCTGCCCCATCCTTCTCCCATGAAGCAGCTGGTGGACTCCAACTGCCAAGCCTTTGATTTCAGCTGAGTATTTAAGCGCTGCTCCACCAGGATCTTTGAATAGGGCAGGAACAAGGAAGTGACACAGAGGGAAACTGATTCTCTTATCTGTTTGCCCTTTTAGTCTTTAGGAGTCCTGGTGGTACAATGATTAAGTGCTCAGCTTCAAACTGAAAGATTAGCAATTCGAGTTGGCCAGCCATTCTGTGGGAGAAAGATGAGAAAGACCGTAACCTTGTGAGGCAGTTCTGCTATGCCCTATAGGCTCCCTGTGAGCTGGAGTTGACTCAGCAGTAACTGGTTGGGTTTTCTGGTTTCCATGGCACAGTGATTAAACATTTGACTGCTAACTGAAAAGTCATTAGTTCAAACCCACCAGTCACTCCATAGAAGAGAAATGAGGCAGTCTGTTTCCGTAAAGATGACATCTTTGGGAACTCTGTGTGGAAGTTCTACTCTGTCCTACTGGGTTGCTATGGGTTTGGCTCCAGGAGAATGGATTTCACAGATTTTTTTTCTGGTTCTTACCCCTGGAGGCTCGTCCCGAGCAAACATTCCCAATGTGTGCCAGCTCATGTTTCTTCTGAAGGTTTCTGACTCACTTTCCCCAAAACCGTAGACATAGTTGGAGGGCAGGCGAGTGGAAATGGAGAGGAGCATATCATTGAAGGTGAAGCCCGGGAGTTGAGAGTCCCAGCTGCAACACAAGGGTCCAAGCTGAGCAAGAGATGGTGGGCACAGCACACAGGGTCACCTGGGGGGGGGGGTCAAGGTTGTGCCCACCACTCCAGAGATCTTTGAACTGTGGACATCTGAGTCACATTTAGTTGCACATCTGGGTGACATGGCCCAGGTCTAAACAAGGGCCAGGGTCCCCCTGCTCTTTCTCCCTGCACTTTGCAGACAGCATCTTTCTAGGTCCTGGGCTCCTTGAGGGAGACCCATGATTCATTCAGTTAGTCATTTCTAGTTCTCTATGAGTCCTGGTGTGGCTCTGTGGACTAATGCACTGGCCTGCAAATCAGTTTGAATTGCAAAGTCAGTGGTTCAAGCTCACTAGTCACTCCTTGGAAACCCTATATAGGTTTGCTATGGATCAGAACTGACTCCATGGCACTTAAAATTAATTTTAAAACAACAACAGCTCTCTGTGATAGCCAGACATACCAGCTTGAACAGGTATAAAAATCAGTGAATGTCATCAAGGATCAGGCCTGTTCCCTCAGTACACAGGATTGATAGGGACAGGCAACTAAGACATTGGCTACCTAAAATGGGGGGGCTATAAAGGAGCTCTGGTAGCATAGTGGTTACAAATCAGACTGAAAACCTTAAGTTCAGCAGTTTGAAACTACCAGCTGTTCCACAGGAGAAAGATGAGGCTTTCTGCTCCCGTAAAGAGTTACAGCCTCAGAAACCCTGTACAGTGTCATTATGAGTGCGAACTGACTCCACGGCACAAAACAACAACAACATAAAGGCACGAAGTGACTGGCTTACAAGTTTTCAAGAGGGAGTTCAGTTTCTGAGTGGGGGAGGGGGGAAGGCAGAATACCCACTGAATAGCTTTCATCTCATCTAAATGGGTCTGATGAACGGAGATGGGGATAGGATTCTTTTGATTCAATAGTGAGTAATTGTTATCATGACTAATTGCGATTTTCACAACTGTAAAGGTAGAAGTTTTGTAACTTAAAGAGGGGAGTAGTTAATATTACAGTCCTAGAGCATAAGATCCTAGAACCATCAAGGGAGAAGAACATGAGTGGAATGTAGGACCCTAACCAGAGAAGTAGCAACATACCAGAGATGAAGGCAGAGATGGGGACATGGAGAGGTAGAGCAGCTGAGGTCTCTAGATTCATGGAAAGAGAAAGGCTATGCGCTGGTGGCCAGGAGGCAGACTTGCAGAATATGCCCTTTGGTTGTTTAAATGATTATATATTCCTGAATGTTTTTCTTACACACAGAAAAAAAAAGAGAGAGGGGGAATTGAAGCAACTACTATTAAATGATGGAGATTTAAATGGAGGAGATTATAATCATTGCGAGGGAAAAAAATACAAGAGGTTGAATGTAAAATTGATGTTCTTCCATGTAAACTATCACTCAATTCACAATAAAAGCTTTAAAAAAAAAATACGTGATTGAGGTCTCAACAATGTTCCCTATAAAAAGTGGTAGACTCTTCAAACCATTGTTCTGGATTGGCTATAAAGCTTCTTAACAGAGGGAAGACTGCCAGATGCCTAAATGTATGGCCACAGGAAGCACACCTCTAGTCATGCAGATGACAGCTTCTACTGGGAGGGGACCTCAGCTCCAGGCAAGGTCTAGACTCTGGTGCCCTTCACCCAGCAGGACCAAGGATAAGAAATGCGGCATCTTCCATGCTCAGTTTTGATGCTTCTAACCCTCCAAGGAGCTCTGGTAGCGTAGTGGTTACAAATCGGGCTGCAAACCTTAAGGTCAGCGGTTCGAAACTACCAGCCGCTCCGCGGGAGAAAGATGAGGCTTTCTACTCCCGTAAAGATTTACACCCTCGGAAACCCTGTACAGGGTCGCTATGGGTCGGAACCGACTTGACGGCACTTAACAACAACAACAACAACCCTCCAATGGCATCCCACAGAGACATGAAAAGTCACTCTGTCTCCTCCCAAGTCTTTGCCTCTCTCTTCTGCCTCTTCACTTGCCTTTTCTTAATGTACCACAATAGAGAACTGAATTACAGCTTAATTCATGTGTTGTACTTATGGTGCTGTAGGATAAGCATTGAGCTGCTAACCACAAGGTTGGCGGTTCAAATCCATTAACCGCTCCTTGGAAAGCTTATACAGAGTCTCTGTGAGTCAGAACCGACTTGATAACACTTAGTGTTGTCCTCTGCTCCCTGTTGAACAAGGATGACTAGAATGTACTATTTTCTTTCTCTGAAACATCTAAACCATTTTTAAGAACACTTTGGTTTATGCTAAACAAATTCCTCATCAAAGTAGGGAGAAATAGATATGAAGGTACCACCTGTAGCCACAGGTTCTGAAATCAAGGATTCAACCAAGGATCAAACGTATTTCAGGGAGAAAAGGGAGCATGAAGACTATTTACATTGACATGGTATTAGAGATTATAGTATAAGTAATCCAGAGATTATTTAAAGAATAGGGGAGGCTGTGTGAAGGTTGTATACAAATACTTTGTTGTTGTTGTTAAGTGCTGTCGAGTCGGTTCCGACCCATAGCGACCCTGTACAGGGTTTCCGAGGGTGTAAATCTTTACAGGAGTAGAAAGCCTCATCTTTCTCCTGCGGAGCGGCTGGTAGTTTCGAACCGCTGACCTTAAGGTTTGCAGCCCAATTCATAACCACTACGCTACCAGAGCCGTTTTATATAAGTAACTTGCACATCCCACATTTGAGTATCCACAGGGCATCCTGGATCCCATTCACTGCAGGTAACAGGGGTCAGGTGCACTCTCTTTAACCAGCATGAACATACACATTTTACATGGAATCTTTGTGGTGACAATTGCAACTACACTAACAGAAAACACACGTGTACATGTTGCTGAAGATAATTTAAAAACAGCTGCAACCATTTATTGACAGGGAACCACCAGAAACTCAAGCTGGATTCAGAAAGGATGTGGAACGAGGGATATCATTGCTGATACCAGATGGATCTTGACAGAAAGCAGAGAATACCAGAAATATGCTTATTGACTGAAAGATGCTTATTGACTGTTAAAAGGCTTTTAACCCTGTGAATTATGACAAGCTATAGACAACATTTTAAAGAATGGATTCACTAAATGATGTTCATAAGGAACCTATACATAGACCAAGAGGCAGTCATTCAAACACAACAAAGGGACACTGACTGGATGGTTTCAAATCAGGAAAGGTGTGCACCAAGGTTGTATCTTTTCACCATACTTATGCAATCTGTAGCAAATAATCTGAGAAGCTGGATTCTATGAAAAAGAATGTGGCATTAGGATTGGAGGAAGACCCATTAACAACCTTCAATATGCAGAGCATGCAACCTTTCTTGCTGGAAGCATTGAGGACTTAAATACTTACTGATGAAGATCAAAGATTACAGCCTTCAATATGGATTACACCTCAATGTAAAGAAAATGAAAATACTCACTACTGGACAATAAATAAACTCATAATAAATGAAGAAAAGATTGAAGTTGTCAAAGACTTCATTTTACTAGGATCCACTATCAACACTTGAGCAGCAGTCGAGATAGTGCACTAGGCAAATTGGCTGGACCACACTTCTTCAAAGTACTCAAGAAACACTTCAATTTGAGAACTAAGATGCACCTGACTCAAGCCATGGTATTTTCAATAGCCTCATATGCATTTGAAAGTTGGACAATGAGTAAGAAAGACAAGAATGGATACATTTACGTTATAGTGCTGGAGAAGAATATTGTAAGTACCATGGACTGCCAGAAAAACAAACAAATTTGTGTTGGAACAAGTAAGGCAGAATGCTCCTTAACAGCCAGGATGCTGAGACTTTGTCTCTCATATTTCAGACATATTGACAGGAAAGACCAGTCCTTGGAAAAGGATGTCATGCTTGGTAAAGTGGAGGGTCAGTGAAAAAGAGGAAACCCCCCAATGAGATGGATTAGCACAATGGCAGCTGTAGTGGGCTCAAACAATGCTTGTGAGGATGGCACAGTACCAGGTAATGTTTAGTTCTGTTGTGCATAGGGTTGCTAAGAGTAGGATCTGATGTGATGGCACGTCATGGCAACCATAAATGGAGGCAAGATTGAAGCTGTCCAAGGCTTCATTTTGCTTGGATCCACAATCAACACTGATGGAAGCATCAGTCAAGAGATCAAATGACATATTTCATTTGGCAAATGTGCTGCACAAGACCTCTTCAAAGTGTTCAAGAGCAAAAATAACAGTTTAAGGACTAAGATATGGTTTTGGGGAAAAATAGTAAAAGTACCATGGACTGCCAGAAGACCAACCACATCTGCATTGGAAGACACACAGCCAGAGTGCTCCATAGAAGCCAGGACGGTGAGACCATCTCTCATACTTCAGAGGGACCAGTCCTTGAAGAAGGACATTATGGTTGGCGAAGTGGAGGATGACAGAAAAAATGAAGACCCCAATAAGATGGCAGCACCTTCAGGCTCAAGCGTACCAACATCTGTGGCGATGGTGCAGTGTTTTGTTCTGTTGTACATGGGGTTGCTATGAGTTGGAACAGATGGTACCTCACAATAACAATAACTATCCACACAGCTCCTCACATGAGGAAGTTCCCCACAGCTGCTTACATGACAGTGCCAGAGCTCTTCCGTTGAATCTGGATTCCGAAAGGACTGGTCTGGATATTGACATTATACAGTCGCTGCTCAGGGGAGCCTGATGGGATGTCTGGGGTGTTCAGAGACATAGGGACCTCGTACCTTTTGTTGGTGGAATTGTAGATCTGAAAAGTAGAGAGAAGGCAGTTTCCAGGTGGAGTCTTAGACCTCACCCTCTGCCCCCATGCCAGACACGATAGTCTGATCCCGATGTTTTCTGGTATCAGATGTGTTAATGCATGTGTGTGTGAACATGCATGTATGTGTGGCTGTGTTAACATGGATGTGTGCTATAGTTCCAGAAGGATGTTTTCACACAGACCCTCGATCTCCTGTCACTGTCTGGTTGTCCAGAAGCCACTTGGCTTTGCCGCAGCTCAGACCTCTCTGTGTGGAGCAGGGATAGACCCCTTGACCTTATATCTCACAGAAGCACTGGGAGGAAGGAGCATACAGGTGCCCTGCAAGGTCAGTCATTTCCACAACCATTCTTTCCCCCATCTTGTGCTCGGACCCTCAGCCCTCTTGGCCACACTTTTCCTAAAGCTGTGCTGTTCAGAGCTGTGTGCCTGGGAGCAGGAGAAGCAGTGTCCTATTCAGACCTGCTGAGCCAGTCTCTGCACAAGACCCCCAGTGGTGCATCCCACATGCACAAGTGAAAAGCACAGCGCTGATCTTAAAGTGCAGAGACCCCTCCCAACTTTAACTACTTGGTTCTATTAAAAGATTGTATGCTATCTCATCATTGTTACATGGGTGCCATTGAGGTACTGATGCCATTTTTAATGCAGTAGTTAAACTTATTAATGTAGGTTTCACCTTAAGAAAAAAACAGCTAGCACGCAGCACACAAATGTGATTTGATTCTAACACAATGTGGTCCCTTGAGGGAGTGGGGAGACCCTCAATCACCCCAGAGGTGCTGAGTGGGGAACTCTGATGAGGTGAACCTGGGTCCCATAGCCCCGCAGTGACTGAGACACAGCTCCAGTTTGAGGGCTACAGCTCCACATTGGAAGTAAGTAAGCATGTGCTCACGTGGGTCTGTCACAGCACAGACACCTTGCTAGGCTTAGACAATGTCTGAGTATATGCCATGCCATTCAACCCCAACTCATGGATCACATGCTTCCTGATGACCTGCCCCTCAATTGTATAATGTCCACTCAGGGCTCCAGGGGGGCCTTACCTTAAACTGCAGCATGCTTTCTGTGTGGTAGACCACACTCACTTGGAGGGTGGTGATCTTGGCAGAGAGAGGGTCAGCAGTGGGGGCCCGGGGTAAGTGGTGCATGCCTGCTGTTGGAGAGGGATCCAGGGGGTCTGGCAGAAGTGTCAGGTCCAGGGTGATGCCCGTGGACAAGTATGTGATGTTACTGGCAGCATAGCTGGGGATGGTGTCGTAATAACAGAGGGGGACTCCAGGAACACCTGTATTCTGGAAAACAGGGTGGGGAGGTTCTTGTCAATCACTTACCATGCTTCCTGACTCTGTTTGTCAAAGTGGATGGTTGCTGGAACCTAAGTCTCTGACACCAGGCCCATTTAGGAATGACACTCAGGCCTCCTGTACTGATGAGGGGTCAGCAGGAGGTTGATCCTGGAATGGGATTCTCCATCCAGTCCTGCTCCATGGTACCTAACCTTGTTTTCCAGGGTGACCTTGCAGAAATCACTAAATTTGTCCAGTTCTCTTCCCGTCTGCTGTCCAATGGAGTTCCTGGGTAGTACAGCTAACATACCCATTGTCAACCAAGAGCTTGGAAGTTCTGGTCCATTGGGACACACCTCAGAAGAAAAACCTGACAATCTACTGAGAGGTCATCGATGATCAAAACAATTACAAGGTGAAAGAAGGTAAAAACAGAGGAACAGAGATCCAGGTGGTGGGAAGGTCAGGTAGATTACAGGATAAAATAGACTGTCTTAAATGGAGGGAAGAGTTAATGGAATATAAGGTAACCACATCAGTGGGGTTGGGATGGGGGGTTTAGTTCAGGTGTTGGGGAGGGCAATACAAGAAGGGGGAGGAAGTGGGAGAACAAGATAGATAGTGGAACACTGAAACAGGTTTGCATGGCCTAAGTGGGACAGAGGTAATTAGTGATGCATGCCCAACCTTAAAACAACAGGGCTCTGGGATACAAGGATCTAGGCATAGCTTGAAGAGGGGAAATAATACTAAAATGCTTGACTGTCTTATGAATATTGGTTTCTCTTGCCTACTATTGTAAAATTGACACTTGAGTGGGATAGAAAGGAATGTTGGGAAACATGATTACAGAAAACTTGTAAGCCCGTCTTCAGCCTAGAACTGATTGGAATACCTAAAAGGGATTCTAGAACTTGCCCAGTGAAATATGCCTCTTGCAAAGCCTTTACAGAGTGTAGGACCTTAGGTGGAATCCTGAGTTCCATCCAGAACCTTCTGAGGTGGGACATTCCCACTAGAAAGGACAAGCAGACCAGCCTGGAACAGCTAGAGTGACAGAAGATACATCTTCAAAAAAAGATCATCAGGAAAAACAAAAAAACACAAAAATGTCAGCATGTCTAGCTACTGCAAGAATAAGCAAGCTGTTTGCCAGAAAGCCATCAAGGCAAGCAATCAAGTTCCTTCAGGACAAACTCCCCTCTAAGACTGAAATTCAAAGAGAACACACAAACAGGCATGTAAACTTGTTGGTGACCACATTGGTCTACTGGTGAGTGGAAGAGGGGCAAAAGCAGCAATGAAGAAATGGGCTGAGTTCAACCACAGTCCATTGGCTTCTGTTGACCTGGAGATGAGAGAGAGAAGAGGAAGGGCTGGTTGGTCCAAAGGGCGGTGAGACTTAAGAACACTTGAGCCCATGAACAAGGACATAGCCACAGAGGGCTAGAGTGGAGAGTGAAGCATCCAGCTGATATGAAGTGAGGAGAGATACACAAGAACACTCAAACTTGTAGACAGTACCCATTTGACCTAGCCTCAATGGCTTGATAGTCAGAACTTGACTAGAGG